TTCTATCACACTGAAGCTGAGCCTGATCTGGCTAAGCTTGCTGCTGCTTTACATCTAGATGTTTCTGAGCTGAAGGGGCATTTGGCTAAGAGGAGTGGAATGTCTGGCTTCCCTTTATCCTTTCTGATTGAGAAGGCTCAACAGTTTTCCAAAGATGGTTGTTGGGTGGTGTTTAATGCTATCTTAACACTTTGTATCTATGGTATCATGTTATTTCCTAACATTCCGGATTTTGTAGATTTGGATGCATTCCATATCTTTGCTTCAGGGAATCCTATACCTACATTGCTAGGTGACGTGTATCATTCTATACACTACAAAAATGAAAATCGAAGAGGGAAGAACGTATCTTGCTGCGTGCCTCTGTTGTATATGTGGTTTGCTAGTCATCTCCCCAAGTCTGGTCCTTTTATTACTACTGCAGGTACTTCAGAATAGTCTGAGAGGTTGATGGGGTTGTTTGCTGAGAACATTATCTAGTTTGACAGAGATATGCTTGGTACATAGATCACTTATAGTTGCAGAGATTTTCCTAACGTCCCGTTGGTTGGAAGGAAAGGATGCATCAACTATAATCCATCCTTGTTGATCAGACAGTTTGAGTATGCTTTGAGAGATCCTCCTAAGGAAGAAGAGATACAAAAGTTGAGTTGGTTGCCCTAAGGCAGTACGAGATACAAAAGGGTCATTTCCACACTCCCTACCACCGACCATCCTTGATTTAAGAAAAATTAGATAATCAGTAACACATAGAAAGAAAGGTACAATGACCCATATTATTAAAAAAATGCAAGAGGTGGCTAAAGCTTTCTCTTGCTATAGAAAATAATTACAAAGAATCAATAAGATGCAAGGGATTGCGTCTAACCAAAGAGTCATATTAACTTTTGATTTTTTTTGATAAAAAACCAAGAAATAAACATCTAATTTTTCCAGGCCAAGGTAAAATTCCTTATAAAGAAACTAGAAGTGATAATTGAATCACTAATGAAGAAAATGCGGCTGACAAGGGTCGCCGACAACACATATGAGCCCATGAGCAGTGTAAGACAAAAGGTAAAGTACTACGAATGGAAATTGGAAAACTTAAACGGGCAAAGGAAGAGTCTTGAAAAGTTGGAAAATAGGCTCCAAAGTTATGAAACCATGATTATTACCTGGGAGCTCCCACATGATATGAAAGATTTCATAAAACACTACATACCAGGGCCTTATTTAAAGGTGAATGCACAAATGTTAGAAATATTGAACAAAACACTAAGAAAGAGTGAAAATCATAGAAGGAGCCAACCTCAGATTCGACAACAAATGACGTTAAAACAAGGAAAAGTTCAAGGAAAAACCATAATCCTTGAAATTTATATCATACATAGGAAAATGTTACAAAGGAAAATTTGCAGATATTCGATCATTGGGTTTGGGAAGGACCACAAACCATCTAAAAGAAGATGGGGCAAACCTTTAGAGGTTGACTAATAGACCGATACCCTATGTATATTTTATATATGTTATCCTCCAAACTGAATCAGTTCTTTAGGAATGATGAGACCATTAGGAAGAACTCATAAAGAGTCACCCATGATTGCCTATCGAAGAAAGGGAGAGTGTCAATCAATATTTTCCTAGAAAGTTTGTCACCAAATGTTTCTTGCAACACTTATTACAAACAAAAACCATATAGGTCACTTTTGATGAAAAATTAACTTACCCATCCAACAAAAATGAAAAAAAAGAATCCGCTGACGAAGCCATACCCCAATAAAAACCTTAATCTTATGATTGAAGAAAACACTATGACAGTTAAAGGAACCACTTTCCTTTCCAAATAGGATTTTAAACTGGGAGATCAATTTCATATTAAACTAGAGTGTGAAATAAACTTACCAGAAGAAAATATTACTGCAAACAACGAAGCAACATAAATGAAGCGATTAAGGGAAAGTCTCACTAAGGAGAAGTTTTAGAGGATTAGAGAAAAAGTGAAAAGGCATAAAGTAAAAATAGATGAAGGCTGTAGTGTAAAATTTTACATAAATGAAGGCAAGTGAAAAAAATGAAGAGTAGATGAACGAAAACTTGTCCCTAGAAATAGTGAATGGTAACACTTTCCCATAAATGAAATGATTAAGTCTAGTACATAACGAAGGTGAAGCCTCATCCTACGCCCACTAGAGAAATAGTTAAAGTACATTACAATAAAAAAAAGAAAATATATGATCCCGACTATGGAAAACATTGTTAGAATCAAAGGGGGAATACGAAAATTAAGACTAGTATCCAAAGTTAAAATGCAACACACAAAAAGAAGCTCAGGCCTAAAGGATGAGGAAAGACAATCACATACCAGTATAGACGGAAGAACTCTAGACTCTAAAGACATAGATAGACAATATAAAATCATAAGGCTTATGCCAAACAAGGCTTAAGGGGCAATTGTTCCTATTTGATCTTAGCCCAAGAGGTGACTTAATGAGAAAAATCCTACAATAACCATAAATACCAAAGATAAATATATTTATGACATGAATAACGCTAGAGAAATAATGTCACGAAACAAATATATATTAAACAAATAGAAGTTTTTAGAACCTAAAGAGCAGACACATACTTAAAAAACCCTTGATCCTAACATAAAATAAAGGCAAAGCAGTTAGATAATAGAACCATTCTGCTTAGTGTTAAAAGACAATGGCCAACAATAACCCATACAAGACCCGTATAAAACATTATACCTCAAATCAAAGTACATATATAATTTCTTTATAATATTATGCCCTCATATTTGAGAGTCGTTATCTTGAACGTTAATGTGTGTAGATACCCCCTCTTTCCAATTTAGTCGAGCAATAAAAAATAGATCGATCATCAGACGGGTGATAACTAGAATCTAACCATCTTCAAGGAAAAAATTCCTTATAGGAAGGAACACATTTAATTAAAAAATATATAAAATTTTCAATAAATCATAATGGTTTTATTTGACTTTAATCAATTCTAAGTTAAAAGGCATGCAATATGGATAATTTGAGATTGATTAACTCTAGAGACAAATTTAGTCAATATCGAACGTCTTAAAATATTAATTTGAGGAAACTAAAAATTAGTAAACTAAATTTTAACCAGGTTTGACCTTTCACATATAATATTATTTTGATTATTGAAAGTACAACTCAATATCATAACATTGATCCGTGTAAGATGATTTTTTGTTGTGGTCAGATTCTAATTCGGATCACCAGATTTTCATTATCAACAATTTAATTAAATAATAGTATTTGTAGGATGAAAATTTGACTTATCTTCAATGGGCACCTGCAAAATGACCCACAATGGATAGACTAAAAACCCGCAAAAATGGATGCAAGTATAGACTCAAATAATTACCCACAAAAATAAGCGGGTATGGACACCTTTGTACCCACCCCGCTCCATACCCGTATAAAATATATTTATGTATTTTAATTTATATTTATATATTTTAATTTATATTATTATATTAAAATATATGTCTATCAATTTTAAAATATTTATCAAGGTTAAACCATTATGTATTGAATATAAGTGTTTGTTTGTTTTAATAATAAATTTTTAAAAAATATTTTTAAAATCTTAAAATGATATTATATTTTATAATTGAACTATTTATTTTTAATAGAAATGTGGATAACGAGTACATGTATGGATACGTACATACCCATATGACACTTGTATGAGTGCTAACTTTGGTGTCCAAACGGGTATGAGCTCGGGTACGCAGATTTTTTCAAATCGCAGATATATGGATGAGTACTATAGTACCTTGCATAAACCTTACCCATTGTCATCCCTAAGCATTTTGTCACTAGGTCAATAAAAAAAATCACAAATACATTTATAAGTATATGTTTTTATTAGTCACTTTGATCATCAAAATTATTTTTAGAAAATCACTTTAATCTTTAAATTTATATTTAGTTGGTCAATTTAATCCATAAACTATGGAACTAAGAATATGTTAGAAATTTTGATATATTTAAGAACTATAATAAATAAACAAAACTAAAACAATCCTGCGATTTCCGGTGACTCAATCAACCGTTTCAAGTAGGGTTTTTGACAGAGGAATCAACACTTGATATGGTTTAAAATCCTGCTCTTCGGAGTAGGGACCAAATCAAGTAGATTCTTGCTGCTTTTTCGTGATCTGTGATGAAGAAAGGGAGGGGTCAACCGAAGAAGAACAAGGTTACAACTTCAAGTGCGTTCACTCCATTCACAATTGAAATTCTAGAAACAAGTATGAAGGGAGATATGATTGATGTTGAAAATGACCAGGCTGAGGAAAGCAGTGAGGAGGAAGTCATTGCAAAAACCCTAGAAAAGAATCTGGCGTTTGAAGTAAATGAAGGTGAATTTCGTGATTTTGAAAAAATGATGAAGGACATGGATTTATATGACAAAGAGAGCATTGGAGAGCATTATACCTGGTTCAATAATAAAGTTGAGAATCCTATTTATTCTAAGATAGATAGGGTCATTGCTAATTTGAGTTGGCACCAACTTAATGCTGAAATTGTTTTGAGTGTGTTGGAGAATGACGCGTTTGATCATGCCTTGCTGATATTAATGGATCATAAGGTGTAAAGAATTTGTAAGAGCCACTTCAAATTTCAAAATGTTGTGATATCTACAGAGGGGTTTATGGAGGATGTGAGAACTAGATGGAATGTTCCTATTAGAGGTAATGGCGTGGGGCTCTATGGAGAAAGTTTGGGAGGCTTTAGCCAGCTATCAAGAATAAGGGTAAAACGTTTGTTGGCCTGGAGGAAGCTAGAAAGGAGTTAAAGATTACCCAAATCAGCCTGGCCCATGATAAGATGAACATAAAGAAAATTCTTACTGCCAAAATATGCTCTAAAAAAGTTATTGTGCTTAATAGAATTGAAGACCAATTATTGAAGAAAAGAACTAAAATAGAGTGGTTAAAGCAAGGTGATAGCAATACAACTTATTATTATGCCATGTTGAAAAGTCAAAGAGTGCAAAAGCAAATTCTTTCCCTGGTTAATAATGATGGAACCGTTCTTACATCTCAAAGGGGTATAGAAGAGAAAATTCTCAACTTCTTTGGTAACTTGGTAGGCAAGGCTTCTCCTAGGCTTAAAGGAATTGATATAATGGTTTTGAGAAGAGGTAACCAGTTGTCTTTGGAGGAAATGGAAAGTATGATTGTTCCCATTAGTAATATGGACATTGACAAGGCCCTTTAAGAGTATGAAGGACAACTATAGATGGCTATGGGGCAAAGTTCTTCAAGTCCACTTGAAATTTTACTAAATATGATGTTTATGATGCTATTAGGGAATTATTTGAAAAGGATAGAATGTACCATGCCTTCAATAGTGCAGTGGTTACTCTTATTCCAAAGATAGCCAATGCTAATATGGTTAAGGGTTTTAGGCCTATATCCTGTTGCACTATTGTTTATAAATTTATTGCTAAAATCTTAGTTGTTAAGTGTTGTAGTGAAAATCAGATATCAAGCTATTAATTAACTTGAATTACAAATCTTTAAATATTCACCATCCAATATTTGATTTATCCAAAGGAAAGAGTAAAGATCGAAGAAAATCATAACAAGGATACTTGTTGTCGCAACTGCGAAAAACAACCGGCGGAAAAAACAGAAGAGTCGCCGCTTTCGTTATTTATCCCAAAGAGAGGGAAAGAAAACGATCGCAAAAACCTAAAGAAAAAGGGAAAGACAAGGTCATCGCAACCATGTCTGGATTTGGGAGTCGGTTACGCAAGGGGAAGGTATTAACACCCCTCACGTTCGCCGTACTCGACGGGATCCACGCATTGTTGTCTATCTAAAAGGGTGTGTTGAGACTACCTAGCTAAAGGCTCAGGGACAAAAGAAAAAGAAAGGACAGGACTCGACAGAGCGTCGCTGATCTGGGCCTACGTACTCCCTCGTGCAATGGAAAAGTCAGAATCAACGTAGTTCGACTAACTACGGCAAAAGAAGGGGGAAGGTTGCACGCTAAGACATCGCGTCTTATGCCTACGTACTTTCATCTGGTATGAAAGATCAGAGCAAACGTAGTTCAGGCTAAAAGGACCACAGGTTGGTTCAACAGTTTTTTAGGCCCGAGTAAGGTTAACATACAGTTCTAGCAGTTTAGTGTATGCAGCTCGACCATTGGAGACTTAGGTGTTACCGTTTGCGATAGGACTGAAAGTTAACAACACTCTTACTTATGAAAAAGGTTTTCCTGATTAAGATCCCGAAGAAGTGTTTTGAGTTAGAGTGTTCATAATGTATATTGTAGCAAAGTCTAAAACCTAGGATCAAATGCGTCGCATATCGTCCTAAGGACGTATACTAAACACTATAGGCAATTGAGAGGTAACCACTCAATCACCATTTCCCAAGTACAAGGCTTATGACACAACATTCATTGTCTTTATTATGTGAATTGAAGTTGTTTGAAGATGAGAAGAGAAAGGGACAAACTAGAGGGAGACTAGACCAGACCCTAGAAGTTGTCATACAAAGTGTTCATAAAGTTGAGTTTGAAAGGGAGCTACCTAATGTTATCATGCATGTTTAGAACCCTAATGTCTATCATAACCTCTCTTAAACAAGAGAGATTAGAAATCCTAAGGGAAGGAAGACAAAAGAAGAAGAAAGAACAAAGGAAACATGCAAATGAGAGAATGCATACATGGAATGCACAAGTAAGAACACATAGAATGAAAGTGGGAGGAAAACATGTGTGAGGCAGTAGCCACCACAAGCTCATCTCAACCAAGCATGCATATGAGGATGCAAAGAGAAAGGAGAAGAAGATGCACAAAAGCAAGCAAACAAGTCAATACTTAAGTCACATAAGTAAAAGAGAATCACACAATGTAAACATGAAATGGAAAAGGCATGAAAAATAGTAAACAGCCCCTAAAAATACCAAATAAAATCTCATTGGACCCCCAAGGTGTTAGGAACCAGGGGTCCAAATTAGAGATCAAAACTCAAAGCAAAACCACCTCAATTGAAAGCAAACACACAAGATATGCCCTAAACTAGGGCAAAAAGAAAGGTTCACAAAACCAAACCAAAACCTCAAACAAAACTTGATAAAAAACAGAAATAAAAAAAATGCAAAAATCCTTCAACATGTTAATGCAATGCACAAAAAATTTCATGCAAAAATAAGGAGTTTACACCCAGAAATAAAATCAAGAGAAAACAATGCCACAATTTAATTCAAATAAAACATCCCCAATAAATTAATTCTTTTTTAAATGAAAATAAACTGAAAAAAATAAAATAAAAATATTATAAAATAAAAGAGAAGTCAAAGAGTCTAAAACATATTTTTGGTGAATTTTAATAATTGGAGAATTATTTATAACAAATTAAATTGAAACATGTTGCAAAACAAAATAAAAAGAAAAAAGAAAAAAAGAAACAAAGACAAGCGGTGTGAATAGCAATCGAAATTAGTTGAAAAGTGGAATTGGGCCAGACATGGGGGTCTGAATAGCAATAAAGCCCAAGGTGCGTCCAAACAAATCAGAGTTCAAACAATACTCAAGTGCATCAGGTCAAAAAAGGCATACGATGGAAACTCAATATTGAGCGCTTGATCACTTGGTAAGCGCATCAAGGGGCTGAGAAGCCGCCAACACATTAATGAAATTTAAAAGCAATTGGGTGGAACATGGTCAAACGAGGAACACTATGGGTATTAATCAAGACCGTTGGAACGAAACTATTCTCATCAAAGGGACATGGGATCGTCTCCTACCTCTCAACGGAGCAAAAATGGAGCGAGTTACAAATACCGGAGCACGGCGGCTCAGGTCACCCTCTTCAACAACACAAAATCACACAACAACTTCCACTTAACCAAAACACAAGAAATTTAAGTCAAAAGTGATCTATGTTTCACGTGGATCACGAATATAGCAGTGATTTTCAAAAACAACACACACAAACCAAATCGTGCGCAAACAGTTTGGGGGTCAACACGACAATATCAACAAACGAACCCCAAATGTTACCAGAAACAATCTACAACATACACAGATCACAAATATATGGAAAAGGCACAATATGGATGTATAAATAGTGAGCAATTTTGAGTTGAAGCTTACCTAACGGAATAATTCCGTTGGACCTTCTACAAGTGTTCAAGCTTGAAGAAACTCTCCAGAATCACTCCATACACTTCATATAAGCTTTGGCTTTGCTTGATTTTGCTTGAAAATGGCTAAATCTGGAAAATCGTTTTTCAACTTTACTCCATTTTTTTCCAATGTATTCTTGCTCTCTGGACACGAAATGACCTGATTTTTCATCCATTCTTCATCTAGGATACTTATGTGTTGGATTTAGGATCAAATGGGGGCCCAATTGTGGCTAATTTGGAAGAATGGAATTTCAATTTTGACTCACCTTTTGCTTTGCCAAACTCACGAATTTCACACTGCACATGCCTCAATTCTGGTCCAAATCAGTTGCACATGGCTTTGGTTAATCAAAGGGTCAAGAATTAGCCCTTGTTTTGATCCTATGGTAGATTTCCAATTTGTTGCTTCATGGTGAAGAAACTATGAAAATGGCCAACCTCATGACCTCAAATTGCAAATGTGAATTTTGCATTGAATTTAGAACATCAATTGCACTAAAAAAATGCATAAATTTGCTTTGAACAAGTTCCAAATCAATTAATTCTCAATTTCTCATTTTAAGCCTCCTTTATGAAAAATTCAAACACCCAATCTTCAATCCAAGCCCCAACCATGACAAGGGATGATTTGGTAATGCAAATGGCCCTATTTGGAGCAAGTTTCATGTTGAAAATATTTTCATTTGAAGTGTGCAAGTTGGTGAAATGGACCTATAATTTTATGACCTGTAATCTTACTTTCCCAAAATACCCCTGACTTGTAACCCTCATAACTTGAGTTCTACAGATCAGATGAAAGACTTCTAGTACATTTTGGAAATCTAAGACCAAGACCTAAAACTTTCATGTTGGCCAAAAGTTGAGGAGAAACATCCTTCTAGGTAAAAAATGGATTGGAAGTTGGTTGACTTTTGTTGACCAAAATCACATCCCTCTGATGACCTGTAACTTGTCTGGATCATAACTTGAGTTCTATAAATCTAATCAAGGACTTCTAGTACTCAAAAGAAAGCTAAGAACATGCTCTAAACGTTCCATGCTGGTCAGGAGTTGAGATGAAACTTGTATCTTGAGATAGGTGGTCTTGAAGTCAGGCACTAAATAAGGGATTTTACCCTGAAAACCCTAATTTATTAACTTCTCACACTCTTGATTATTGATGAATTGAACTTGAAATGATATCTCATATATCTTAACAAAACATCCCATGACCATAGAGACTTTGAATTGAGTTTTAATCTCCTTCACTTGCACAGTTGACTGAGGATCAGCCAGATGGAAACCCTAGCTGCAACACCTTCAATTGTAACCTTTCACACTTAGCACAAGCACTTGGATGAGCTCCACAATGAACTTCAAGGCACTCAATGAGCTCTCTCAACATCCTATATCCATAATCATGACTTTACAAACCCCTGATGCTCTTCAATTGGCCTCCAAGTTAAGAGTTGACCCACATACATCCATCCTTTCTTTCACCAAACCAATGTCCATTTCCTGATGACCAGATGACCATCCAAAATTGAGTAAAACCCATTGCTTAGGCTCAACCCTCTGAGTAGAATCTTCTTGATACACACAACTTCTTGATCCCTTGTTCAATGAAAAACGCTATGTAATGCAAATGCTAGAAAGAAAATGAAATGAAACAAAAGCCAGCCAAAGAAAAAGGTTGGGCAAATTTTGGGGTGGAACAACTGCCCCTATTCAAACGGCTTGGACCTGAATGGATGAAAAGCGAACGACTTTCAAACAATCAAGGTAAAAGACGGTTGAATACCAAAGAACCCGGAAATTTGCCAACCGCAGAAATAAACTGTCAAAACTCATGATTGGGGAACAAATATCCAGAAAAGCTGAACGCAGACCATTGTAACGACAACCGGCTGACTGATCATCCGATAAAGAACACCTGACATCGCTGCCAGTCATCTGTGTAATGCCACAGACATTGAACCCATGGACTGGATCAACATGCACTTGATCCTTTCCATTGTCCAAAGCCAGATCAACATGCACTTGATCTATTCACATCGTCTAAAGTCGGATCAACATGCACTTGATCCTTTCAT